CTCCTTAAACCCCGTAGGGGCCATGGACAGCAATTTTGCCAGATTTTTTAGGCCTCCTGCAACTTCGCTTGGGTTCAAAACACCCCCATAAAGTGATAAAATTGTAACTCATTTTCCCTAGAGACATCGGGGACATTTTTTTTTATTGGACATGTTAAATCCCTATAGTTCTCATATTAGCACCCCCCCACACACTTCCATTAGGACAGGGGCAGATAACTGCGGGGAACCTGGGGGCTGCATTTTGGGTTTAACAATTCTCCAAAGTCTCCACTTTAAAAATTCAGAATTGAGAGTCTAGGATGAAGAGGGGGAGACATCCATGTTTAAAATATTGTCTCATTTGATCCTGCTCTAGTCCATGTTAGTATTCAGCCGAAAATCTTAGCTTGCCTCTCTGCTTTAGGTCATGTCAAATGGAGCTCATGGTAGTAGTCCAACAAAATTTAGAGGCCATTTAGGCTCATACATATGGTATATTAACACACACACTCGCACACAGGTATGCATATAGGGCATGCTTTTATTTCCTATCATTTGTTATATTTAGAGCAAAATCCTACACCTGTTTACTCAATACTAAAGTCCACTGTGTTCAATAAAGTACATGATCTGCTGAGCTTGCTTAGGACTATAGTGCTAATTATTACTTGTTGCAGATGTTAACTAAAAATATTACTTTCATTATTGTCTAAAACTCGTTAACTATTTGAATATAAGAATTGAACTTTCCGACTTTGTGTTGCACCCATGCAGTAAGAAACCAAGTTAATACCTTCACATATAAAGAGCACATTGCTTACCTCCATTTCCTGATGCTCTCCATTACTGGCTGCTTCTGACAACTCCATGGGCAAAGGTACATCCTCATGAGACATTGACTCTGACATATCACATGCCATTATTGCAGGTATTCCATGTTTTTCCTACCAAGTCATTCTTTTAGTTGTGACAGGAGAGACACATGACAGATTTGAACACGCTCTAATGTTTAACAAGAAAGCAATCATTTGGATTTTTTTAACAGACCATAAATCATTTTCCACTCAAGTAAATGGGTTCAGGATTGGCTAGTTGCATTTGGCTTCCAATGAGACAAATACAAAAAGTTAATTACAACGAAGCAAATTGCATTGATTTCAGTGGGCTTTAAATTCTGCCACCCTGCTCTGGATCCAATTCAATGTCTCAAAACTCTTACGTTCATTCAGAGCCATTGATAGTCAGCAAGTAGTAGTTAATTTTACAGCTGCAGAACTGTACATGCTGTACATCTCACAAAAACAACTCACTCAAACCTCCAAATAAAGAACATGATGCCAGAATTGGGATATGGGCCTAGAAGGAATACCTGTTTGGCGTATAGAGGAATGACTCTGGTCATGTACTTCTAAGCCCTTTACTAACACTGTTCCTCTTTCTACAAACTAGCAGTGGGAATATAGTTAGTGGTTCTGAGCCCATTAAAACACATCTTCAACCAGTTTTCTTCAGACAAAAGTCTGTTTAATCTGGGACAATGCTAGTTTTGAATATGAAAATATACAATTACTTTTTTAAAAAAGTGCCCTCCAAATACATTTATTCTTGACGTCTGTTTGTACACACACACACACACACACACTTTATACATATCAATTCTTTCTATTTTTCTCTACTCCATTAGTTTTAACCTTCTTAACATCCAAGTTCACAACTATGATTATGGCTTGAACCTCTCAGAGCTAAGGTCCAAATAATATTATACAAAACCAATTTACTGGCTGTAATCTTATGCACACTTACTTGGAAATAAGCTCTACTGAATTAAACCAGCCAGATAGCCCATAAACTCTCTACTTCTCCTTTCCTACACATCATCCTGAAACTTCCTCATTCTTACCCTTACAGACATATCCTTTATTTATCCTTTATCTATTTTTTCTATTATACACTTTGAAAACATTCTTCATACTTACCTAAGCTGCCTCTAGAAACAATAACTATTATTTCCTAGCTGTCTCTCCTTTTAAACAAAGAAAATATTTGTCTTTTACTACTGCTCCAACAAATACTACTATGCCCCACCTTCTGAAGTTTTATAGGCTGAAGGCACTCACCAACAAGTGCAGCTAAAGAAATCATTACTTAGCTTCATCCATTTATTTATTTCATCCTCCAAATGATTCAGAAGAACAACACCCAGTCAGTTCAAAGACCTCAGCCCCAAACAACTAAGAGTGAAGAAATCTAATAATATAAAGCAAAGCTGCCATTAGAAATAGCCATCTTTCCAGTAAAATGTTCCATTGAGAACAGCTGGAAAGAAAAATCCTGGCTGAAAACCTGTGGATGTTTACATGGGAGTAAGCCCATTAAATTCAGCAGCACTTACACCTGAGTGAACATTAATAGGATTGAGCTGCAGAATGGAAAACTTATGCACATTTAACTGAGAGTATGAGGGCCAGTGTGGTGTAATGGTTTGAGGTTTGGATTACAACTCTAGAGATCAGGATTCAAATCCACCCTTGGCCATGGAAAACCATTGGTGACCTTGGGCAAGTCATTCTTTCTCAGCCTCAGAGGAAGACAATGGCCAAAAAATCCCTTCTGAACAAATCTTGCCAAGAAAACCCCATGACAAGGTTGCCATATGTCAGACATGATTTAGAGGCACACAGCAACAAGTTTCTCTGAGCACAGCAGTAGCTATTTTGGAGTAAATGTGATCAGAATTGGGCTGTGGATATGTTTATATCAGCAATACTCAATGGAATATATTACACTGCAGTGAAAAATCGTAAAAATGCCTAGAAAAGTAATGGAAATATGTCCATGTGAGCTTGCAATTAAACAACTGCTTAAGGCTTCTGCCTACCTCTGTTCAGACTAAAGGCATACTGTGTAGAGAGGGCAGCTACACAATTTACAACAACAAAGTAGAGAATGTGGGTTAAAATGGGTAAAATAGCAAGTAAGAAACAGCTCTCCTCAAAAAAGGCTTCCCTTCCTTTAATGATGGCTGAAGCATCCATGCAACAGTGCATAACTTCCCTGTGTTCTGCACTTCTAAAGATGTACATGTAATCCTCACTGAATCAAACTTTTTCATGTGGAGTTAACCACTGCCACCTCTTCCAACACCAGGGCCACTCCTCATACAAAGACAGAAACTCTCTCTTTGATTCACTAAGGATATGACATGGTGTGCTGCAGATTGACTGATTTACAGAAGCTCTCACCATTGAAGAGGCACCATTGCAATTTAATGGTAAGTTATAAAACTGGTATTAAAATGGTGAGTTATAAAGATTTCAGATTGAATGTCCCATTCTTCAGTTTCTGCAGAACTGCTTGATGCTGATAATGGAACAATTTGAAAAATCTGTAGGACCTCAAAAGGATTTCATTCTTCTTTTTAAAATCCAAAAAAAAAACAAAAAACCCTAAATGATATCCTGAGTTTTTTATGTCCCCAAGAGGAATATTTCAAAACCATAGTACTGTATTTTAACACAGGCAGTAAAAACTTCCCACTTTATTATATACTAAAAATGGAAATGGAGAATGTACAGTCGTCCCTCCATTTTAGTGGACTTTGAGTCCGTGGTCTTGGTCCTTCATGGACTGACAAGCAGGGTTAAAATGGCATGCGCGCCTGCGCTGCCTGCACAAGGCAGTAGACAGGAGCATGCGGCCATTCAAGTCAATGGGGCTTGAATATTTGCAAAATTCCATTTTCACAGGGGGAACCGGAGCAAATCCCCAGCGAAAATGGAGGGAAGACTGTATTTATATTTTCTATGTTGGTTATAACTCATAGCAGAAAACAGAAGTTCTAAGTCTAATAAACCAGAAATAATTCCAGACACGAGAGAATTTGTACTGATCTGAAAGAGGTTACACTGTCCAATAAAGATGAGAGCCTCTCTGAAATTGGAAGCTATACAAAATCAGGCCTGGTTAATACTTGCAAGGGAGACTACTAGGGAATAACAGGTGCTGTAGGCTTTATTCAGAGGACGGGAATGACAAACCACTTCTGAGTAGTCCTTGGCTAAGAATATCCTATGAAATGAATATGGTCACCATACATCAAAAGGCAACTTGAAGGCACATTCTACCATGACGGTTTGGCAATCTGTTAGATTAATATCTGTCTTTAGCAGCCAAATTGTTTAAACTACATGTTGATGACACTGTGGCAAAATAATGCTGGCTCATTGTGGATTTTGCTTTTAAGTCAACAGCTCATGTGAATTTTTGCTTGCATGTTTAAGGGATAATTAGTCTCACATAACATATACCTCCAAAAGAAACTGCTTTTCAAATTAGAGAACTGTGGTATATACAAAGCAATATTGTTTTCTGAAACCCTTATAATCTGTTTTGTACATGGAGTACACAAGATTAAAAATTAACACAAATCTTCATGAAGAGAATGGCAACTGCCAAAATGGTAAGAGAAGGAACTCACCATTTGGTGGGCATCTCTTGCTGGCTAAAGCTTTGTAGCCAAAACATTATGTCAGGGGCTTGGAATATGACTTTCAGGCCATTTTGCAAACCACCTATCTCACAGTGATCTGCCTCTAAGGACCCATGAGAGTCCGGCATCAAAAGAAAAAGCTGATGGGAGGCATACGCCTGGTGACTTTCTCCTTCTCTGGTTGCAGAGACATATGCATGCAGTGGGTGCTTGTTGCATTTTGTTAATTCTGCTGTTCTGTTCATGGAAGATCCTGGATACCTCATTGTTGTTGTGTATCTTCAAGTAATTTCCAACTTATGGCAACCCTAAGTCAACTTTACCATAGGGTTTTCTTGCCAAGATTTATTTAGAGGGGTGTGCATTTGACTTCCTCGAAAGGTGAGTGTGTGCTTTGCCCAAGGTCATCCAGTTGGAAATTACTTGAAGATACACAACAACAACAGGAAGGTATCTAGGATCTTCCACAAGCACAACAGCAGAAGTAACAAACTGCAACAAGCAACCCTTGCCTCACACTGCATGCATATGACTGAGTTGGGATTCAAACCATGGTCTTTGGAGTCATAGTCCAATGCTCAAACCATTACACCATGCTGGCTCTCTCCTATCTCCTAGGGCAGGGATCGGCAGCCTATGGCCTGAGGGCTGGGTACGATCTGCGGAGGCCTCGGGACTGGCCCATGGCCGGTCCCGCCGCCGCTGAGTGTGAGCGCGGGCACCATTTTGGCATCCAAAATGGCACCAGTGCTCACGCGCACATGCGCACAGTGGCAGGCGCCATTTTGGAAGGCCCCACAGTAGCTTTACAAGGCCCAGGAAAGCCTCCACCGCACCTGCGCTGTGCAAATTCGGCCTTCCAACGGCCTTCCAAAATGGTGCCCCCACACGCACATGCATGCGCACGACAGTGAGTGTCATGCGTAAGTGCGTACACGCACGCATGCACCCGGCTGGCCCCTGCGCCATTTCCCCCCCCTCCCGGCCCCAAAGCGACAAAGGTTGCCGACCCCTGTCCTAGGGTTTCTAGAATGAGTGGTTTGCTTTAGAATAGCTTGCTATCCAGAGGCAAATGGGTACTCAAGTGGATATCCTATGAAATCCAAAGTAAGCCAGTGAGTTTTAGCTGGATGGTTGAAAACACACACACCTGTAGAAGGTCAGGGCCAGTTAGGGAGCATTAGCTAATTTACTATGTGAAGTCGTAGGCTTTCATCACCGGCATCCATAGTTTTTTTGTGGGTTTTTCTTCTAGAACATGGCCACACAGCCCGAAAAAACCCCACAAAAAAAGCTAATTTACTGTTTTTTAAAAAAGCTCAAAAATTAAAATTGTAGTATCTTGTTCAGGTCAATTCAAAGCTTACTAGATACTATGCCAAGCTTTTGTATTCTTTAGCTCTCTTCATTATACAACTTTGACAAAGCCTTTTCAAAGGTGGAGGAAAGCAGCTATTCTCACGGCATGAAGTGAAATTTTAAGACAAGTGGGTAAAGCCTTCAGACATTAAAAAGGGTCTTGTAGATACCAGTGTTGTGACTCAGGTTTACTTAGATCATCCCAAAGGGAGACAGCTATTTTCCTCTTATTTTCAGAACATTAAATCCAGCTTTTACTCAAATATGGCACCATTGCTATAGACAAAACTCAATTATATATACCTGAGTAGAACTGTGGTCTTTCCCCCCCTTTTTTGGCAAGTGATGCTGGCTACCTTTTTGGGAACCTGATGTGAAAGCATTTCATCTTCCATCTGTTACATAGGAGTTTGATTATAAAAGAAGCAGAAACAGAACAAGGAACAGAACAGGTACAGAACAAGGGAACATGTAGTCCTCTAGATCAGCCTTTCCCAACCTTTTTACCCTGCAGGAACCTTTGAAATAATTTTCAGAGCTCAGTGAACTGTGCATAAAAATATTTACAGTTTTAAAATCCCCCCTCCATCATGATCTCTTGTAAAGCCTCTAGTGACCTCTGGTGGAAACCCCATTCTTGATGTTGCTGGAGTGCAACTCATCTTTTGCAATGACACCCATTCAATAAGCCTGATTCTGGACTAATCAGTACTAAGAATTACTTCACTAGTCATTCTGATATAATTTGATAGTCACTGAAGATGACTGTTACTTCTCCCCACAGTAACAATGTTCACTAATTGTTTTAACCTACAGCAACCACTTAGAAATAGTCTGTGGGAGCTAACATTTTAGTAATTTTCCAGGCATCCTTCAGTTAACATACCTTGAAATCAGTATATAGAGATCTTGTAGCACCTTTGAGACTTACCGAAAGGCAATGGCAGCATGAGCTTTCACAGACTTAAATCTAGTCTACGAAAGCTCATGCTGACAACTTCTTTCAGTTAGTCCCAGAGGTGCTACTGGATATCATTACATACTGATTCTACAAACTAACATGGCCGTATCTTTGAATTATACCTTAAAATGGCTTTTTACAGCACTTTGTAATGAGCAGCTTATTTTGAGTAAGAACAGCTGTCCAATAAAACTATTGTGAGTTCATAAAAATAAAGAAATATATTACAGGCACTAATCTATCAACCCTATTTCATCATGAGGAGAAATTCATATTGTGTTTCCTTTATTGTGGAGGTTCAGGAAACATCACTTAAAATTCTTGGTTTTGAGAACATCCATAATATGCTTGTGTGGGCCTCATAAGTTGTTTTATACCAAGTCAGGTTGCCATAACCTAATGCTGCATGCTGAAAATAGCAATTTGATTTACAACACTGATCCTCAAACCGTGGGACCCCCCCCCCCCGGAGCACAAGAGTTGCTCAAACTCCCCTGCCCCCCAAGACTTGGAGGCCCTGATCACCTCCTCCTCAATCTTTTCTGTCCTGGAGGGGAAGAGAAAGGCAAGGGCACTTGGAGCAGCTGCCTCTGCCTGAGGAAGTAGGAGTGAGGGAACTCACTGCATCATGTCTCGGGCCCATCCTGAGCCATTGCTGCTTCCCCCACATGCCCCATCATTTCTAGTTCCTGGGCCAAGAGGTTGCTGTATGAATATATCCATGTATACTCATGAATATGCAACCTAATTCATATACTATATTGAATGGAGGGCACAATCTCTACTTGTAGATGTAAAGGGGGTCACAAGAGTAAAAAGTTTGAGAACCGCTGATTTAGTTTCAAAACTATCCATTACTCCAGCCTATCGTAATTTGAGTACTGGATGACAATTCTGGATGGAGCCCAAGGTTTGAATCTCTGCTTGGCCAATGAAACTTACTGGGTGACCTTGCTCGAGTTAAGGCCTTTGCAGATTGCTAGAAATAGTGCAAACTGAGTCCAATTTAACTGCCCTGGCTCAGTGTTAGGGAATCATGGGAATTGTATTTTTTTCTTAGACATTGAACCTTCTGTCAGAGAGCTCTGCTGCCACAATAAACTACATTTCCCATGATTCCCTAGCACCAAGTCAGGGCAGTTAAAGTGGACTCAATTTGCACTATTTCTGGCAGTCTGTAAAGGCCCTTAGTCTCAATGGTGCTACAAGATCTCTCTTTATAAAAGAAAAGAAAATAATGTATGTTGCTCTGATATGTCTTGCAATTAATAAAGCCACTTCCAGGTGGTAATACAAAAATTTGCAGGTGATATCAGAGTGGACAGAAAATAATTCAGGGCAATAAAAACTCTGGTTTCTCTTCAGATCGTATAAATCTTTCGCCTTTTGCTATTTCTGGCAGTCTGCAAAGGCCCTCAGTCTCCCAGCCGCAGAGGAAGGCAAAGGCAAACACCCTCTGAACAATTTTTTCTAAAAAACGACTTGAAGACACACAATTGTTAGCCCTCACAAAGAGGTGGTATCTTATGAGTGCTGAAACTTTGAGCCTGAATAGAATTTTCAATAGGCAAGGAAATCCTTTATAACTATACTATTTGGCCAATCATTTCCCACTTCTTCCTCACAGCTGATGCAGTCCTGTGGACAAACATCACACAGGAAATAAAATCGTTAAGCCAGAGTACTGAGTTGTCCTAATCATTGGCTATTGTATACATAAAGAATGAACTGTGACTATACACATAATTCGTAATAGAAACTTCATACACAACTGTATTCCATGTCTCCCTTTTAAAGGTGAGAGGAAGTTTCACCTATCCTATTCATATCAACTTTTTGTGTAACTTAATTGTACCCGATCTTCCTTGCTTTGTTCTTCAAAGTGACAAATAAAAGGTATTAACTTCATATAATTAACACAAAGACAAGTAAGCAACAAAGGTAAAAAGTTATTCTCATTTTTTATTGAATTAGATGAAAACCATTTAAGCATCAGCAATAGTAACTTCGACTTCTACACCAGGCTCAATACTGATAGAAGTGATCTGCTTAACTATCTCTGAAGGACTGTGCAAATCAATGAGACGCTTGTGAATGCGCATCTGGAAACGATCCCAGGTTTTTGAACCTTCGCCACATGGTGTTTTCCTTGTAGTGATTCGCAGAGTCTAAAATGTAAATGAACATGAAGAGTGTATCACTATGAATGTTTTAATCACAGACATTAAAATAGTTTATATGGAAATTAAAATCTGTCTGAGATTTAATGGAATATATTGCATGGACAAAAATCTATTCTCTGACCACCAAATGCACCCCCTCGTTCCTATTTTTCTCTAATGTTGACATACATTCCTCAAATGTAAAAAAAATTTTTTTTAAAGGCCTATTACTTTACTTTATGACAGTTCCCCTTGAGTTTGAGATAATAAGAACAAATTCACTACAGGAAACGTTAGTTAAGTTATACTGCCCAATTGGAAGAACTACCTTTCCTGAAAATCCTTATAAAACCAGTGACAAAACCGATAAGTTAAATATATAAATAAATAAATAAATTTGCATTTATAAATTATATAAAGTAACATACCTTGGTGGGCATGCGAACTGGTCCTTTCACTTTTAAGTTCTTCTCCTTAGCACCTCTGATCAGATCTGCACAGACTATAAAAATTCAGCAAAGTTAAAAATAAAGTTTTGTATTCATAATAAAAGGTTTAAATGTCACATGTTGGCTCAGAATAGCGTATAAACTAATCACAGTAATTCAGTTAACATTTTGTCCTCATTGCCAACTATATGGATGAAATTAGTTACAGCAAAGTTGCTGGTGCTAACAAGATGTCTACAAAACAAGAGTAGTCACTTCATTTGTAGTTTTTATGTGGGGCCAGCTTTGAGCTATGTATGGTTGTATGCGTCTTCAAACCCATGAAGTTTATAGGATTTTCTTAGGCAAGGAATACACAAGAGGTGGTTTTGTCAGTTCTTTCCTTTGAAATATAGCCTACTGCACTTGGTATTCATTGGTGGCCTTCCCATCAAGTACTAATCAGAGTTGACCATACATAGCTTCTAAGATGAGACAGGATCTGGTGCCTTTAGGTATTCACATATACGACAAAATATACAACACTTACTGTAATCAATATTTACTTAGGCTTTTTTTTTTTTTAAAAAATCCAGCATTTGAAATGGAGCTAAAAGGTCTTAACACAGAAGTGTCTACATTAATACTGTAAATGACAATAAGAGCACAACTCATAAATACCGTATTTTCC